GAAAGACCCCCTCCCAGCCGGGAGCAGACCCCTGTGTAGACGCCCAGATAGCGGACAGAAGCCTCCCGCCCTCCCCACTGGCCGACTTACCCTGAGCTGCTGTCACGGAGTGAAGCTGTCAGAGGTTTATGTCCTTAAGAATGGCTTTACAGTACCCAGCGAGGGGACCGGGGCTACTGGCTTCGAGGTGGAGAGTTTTGAAGGCGGCATGCAAAGAGGAAATCTGAAGGGAAAAAAGTTCGTGCTTTAACATCACGATAGTCAGATCATCACAGCAGTAGTAACGGTAACCAAAAGCTCTGTGTGCAGAGCCCCAAAGGCAGCAGCAACCGAAGCGGCATTCCCACTTCTAAAACGCAGGGAGTTGAGACATCACACTCTCTCTCCTCCCCCACTGTCTTGAAATCCTTGACTTCTAACGGATGACCATTTGGTGTAAGCGACTGTTACAAAAATCCCTGAATGGGGGGAGGCACACGGCAGAAAACATCCCCCAGAGATCGCCAACTTGAGGATTTACATTCTGATGTTCTAATTAAAAAAAAAAAAAAACTCTCCTAATTACCGGGTGAGGAGGAGTATTTTAAATGATATATTCTGTCTTCAGCCAGACAGACGTGAGGACGAGCCACGGAAACATTATAACAGCAGCCTTCACTGCGGGCTTTTTATGGCTCTATTCCTTTCCACCACAGCATGGATTAGAGCAGCGGAGAGAACTCGAGAGGAGCCATCCGGCCTCCAGGATCAACCTTGCACCAAAGAAAAATAACCCGGAGAAATTACTCTGCAGCCTGAAACGAAGCGGGGATCAGATGGTTACTGATCAGAGCAGATGTTTAAATTGGATAAGTCAAATCGAGCATTATTAAATAAAGCTTGTTTAATACGTCTCGCACAGAAAACCTTTTGAAGAGCGTTGTAGACCTGATACTAGAAACCTCGCTGGGCGCGTGTCTCGGGGCTTAATCGCTGGGCACGGGAATCTGAGTTCTTACGACAGAAAGCGCTCTTCCTTCACGATGTATTCCTCCCCCCACGGATAAAATGAAAGCAGGAAGGTTTTCAGGTAGCTCTCGAAAACTGCTGATGCAAGGTAGTAACTAGGAGACAGCCGAGCCACGTGTGAATGTTTATTCGTCAGACAAGGTGCAGCGCAGCCGCCCGGGGGACACCGGCGACCTGCTCTGGGGCCGGGAACGCCCGCGTGGGGGGGTGCCCTCCTGCCACGGTGCGGTGGGGGAGCAGCTGACCCGTGCTCTCACCAAACCTAAAACCACTCTCTAATGAGTTTTACAATATTTACATTTTCAATTGTATTTATAGGACACCAGATGTCCACACTCAAAGGAAAAAAAAATCATTTAGAATATAAAATCCCACCCCTTCCCCACACTCGATAGCGTATTAGGTATTTGTGGGTTCCCGCTGCCAGGCGTGTATGTGGCCGCCACCTCGGAGCTCAGGCCGCCATCCCCTCGGGGGTTGGGAGGTGGAGAAGGAGCGCGGCCCCCATTGTCTGCGTGACCATGAGCATGCCTTTAATTCTGGGCCACATTTTCTCCCGTGGAAAGGGAAGGGGCTGGCACGTCCCAGTGAGGAGATTCTTTGCACCTCTCAAGGACCCCAGTCCCCCATGAGTGCGTGCTCTCACATGTGGGGTCGGAGCATCTGAGAACCTGCTCCAGGCAGACCTAAGGCGGCGGCTACAGGGCTTCCCCGGCCAGGTGTGAGCGCGCCCTCGGGCTTGCAAGCCCCTCGGTGCCTTTCTTCCCTCACCCTTCACGAGTGGGTCCTTAGGAATTATCCAGCCCATGCCG